CGTCAGTCGGACGGGTGACATGTCACCTCTGCCAGCAGCCAGCCAGCCCGCCAGAAAGCCACCCACACAGCAGAAACGGTGGGTAGGGAGCAACAGTGGCTAAGATCTTGAGGCTGAAATAAGGATGATTCTGAGGGAAAAAATATTACACTATTTCAACCACGTGGCTCCTTAAAAGTACAAAAACTTGTCAAAAACAAAAAACAATCAAACAACACTGTCTATTGTCACCAATCGAGAAAAATCCAGCAGAAACAGGGAGGATTTAACAGCCGGCATCATCCCTTGTCCTCCATAGCCGGCCTTGGGCAAGGCAACTGGACCTCACTCCTGGAGTATGGGGATACAAGAAAGTTGGCGTACAAACTTCCTGAAAATAATACCATGTTTCCCTCCAATAAGATCTAGCACTGATCTTTGCTACATTTACTTCCTACATTTCAACAACCACTATTTAATTCCTCAATTTGAACAGATAATCTGATCCCATTATTCCTTTCATGCAATTTTCCTAACAGTTCCACTTAAATTGTCTAAGTGATACTATACTGCGCACACTGATGAGCTAAATAAGCATCTATACTGTTTTGACCTCACTGCAAGATATAAGTGATGAAGGAAACTCCAAAATTTTACCACTACGAAAAACAAATCAAATCTGTCATGAATAAAATCTCAACCGCCTACAGCTTTTAACAGTGAAAGAAAATAGCTGTGTCCCAGACGTATAAACTCAGAACTCTACAGGAGGAGTTAAATATTGTAAAATAATTTCATTTTCATTTTCCAGGGAGACCTAAGTGTAATGTCATCATTATATGAAGACTGCTTCTATTTGCCATAATTAACTGCCTATTACTTCTTTCCAGTGAATAAGAGACAAGGTGTTTAATTCTATACTTGAGCCTTCAAATGCCTTAACCTAAAAGGTCTAAAAAAAATTAACCTTTAACTCTGTGTTTTGTCTTTTCCCTTTAAAATTAAGAGGCCATTTCATGTAGGAAGCAGAAATCATAATCGACCAAAACAGTATAAACAAACTACTTATGCTAACTCTAAATCAATTTTATTTCGTTTAGCTCAAAACCCTATATATTTACTCCTAAATCTTCTGCAGCAATGAACTATCCTGTCTTGTAATTGGTCCCTACTGCATGAGAATTATTCCTCTATGTGTTTAGTGCCAATTTCAAAATATTAATTTAATGAGAATCTTTTTTTTTTTTCCCTCAATTTGGCAATATCTAATCTCCAAATCAATGCTTCTTACAGTTCACTTTAAACTTTGGAAGAATTCTCAGGATTTTCACTCTTCTGTTGGATGGTTTGAAATATTGTTGGCTTAGACACAAAACAACACTGCATAGTCAGCACACCAAGCTATTTTTTGGCCAGCTTTTCTCATGCCTAACCCTTTAATTAGTTATTATCTTTAATTCTTCTGGGCACATGCTTATATTGTCAAAGGAAATTATGACAGTAAACAAATAATCTTATTTTTGGTTCTCTTATAAGCCATTTGGAAGGGAAGCCAGCAAGTCGTTTTTTAACATCTTCCACACAAAGTCACTAGACATTTCAAGAAGGGTGTTCACATTCACGTGCAAACTTTGCTTTTAAGTAACATAGCACTATCAAAATCTACCTTATCTGAAAACAGCTTTCTTCACTCTGAACAAACCATAGAGATATCAATTTAAACAGGTTTTGGTTCTGTTTCCTTACTTTAGAGCAGCAGTATCATACAAGAATCTCCTGAATGTGTGTTCGATGAATAATATATGTGTAGATCATTTCCAACTGGAAGTCAGATTTAAATGTAAAGTGATTTATAAAGGAATTATGAGAACTTTAAGAAACTATAAATCTTATTTTATAATGGCTGACCCAAACGTTTTCAAATTATAGTCAATATTTCAGAGAATGGAGGAGGTTGCATTCTTTCTTTATGGCCTTTCTTTATTTTCCTTACGCATCTACATAAAACCCTGAGAGGCGTTGCTCTCCAAACTTAGGAGAAGGAACTTGAATTTAAGTGAATTTCAAGAATAATCTGTAACAGTGCTACAAAACAGGGAATTGGTCCATCACACTTGAAAAGATGGAAAAAGTCTCACTCTACAAATTCAACAGTGAAAACACGTGCAAGAGCAACCCCAGCTAAAATACAAAGCAAAATGTTATAATGGGTAGCATAAAATAAAAGAAACAAGCAAAAAAAAAAAAAGGAAAAAAAAGAAAGAAAAACCATTCCATTTCACATGCATCAAGCGTTCCACAGCAAATCGCTTCTTCCTGTTGTCAAGTGACAGCAGATTTCTAGCAGTCTGCCTGGCAGCAGAGCTTGGCACCTCCTCTGAAGGAGGCTGTGGCAGAGCAGAGCGGGGCGAGGTGGGGCACAACTCTTGCTGAAGGCCATTACCAGTCATCTCCACGGTAAGAGGGATAAACTGTGACTCACCACTAACCAGGTTATCAGAGTTCAGCACTCAGCTGCTTGAGAGAAAGCTGGGAAGCTCCATGTGTAATGGTGCCAAGTAGGCAGCAGAAAGCTTCCATCAATGAAGAGATCCTCACTTTTGCACATGCTTTTTTCATTTATCTTCTTTTAACAAATGGATCTGATGGTCTTAGAAAAGCTCTATACAAGCGCCAGTATCACTCCTACAATATCCCTCACATAAGCAGAATTTTCTAACTCTGATTTGCCTTTGTCTTTTCCTTAAAAACACATACATAAATGCATATTTATCTTTCCTGACGTATGTTTGATTTTTCCTTTTCTGTACTGTGCCACATGCACCAGGGCAAAAGCCAATGGTGCACGTGCCAGAAAAGTAACTGAGGCAGATTTTGACTGTACACAATACAGATTTCCATATATGTCAGAGATGAAGCAGCTGCCAAATCCCAACTCCTACTCTCTAAAATTGTGTGCAAGACCCTCTGCGGCACCCTAGCCCAAGCTGCTGGCACACAGGGCAAGGATCCTCAGCAAAACAGAGCTCAGCAAGACCTTGCCCCTACCGGCCATTAACAGGGACATTTCCAAGAGCAAGGGCAGCTCCCTTCCCTCCCAGGGCACCAAACTCAGCTCGAGAGGCAGAATGTAGCAGCATGGAACAGCTCAAACATGGGGAGGGAAACACGAGTCACTGGCTCGTTCTTGACAGACTCTTGCACTCCAGTGCAGAGTCCTGGAGGACATGCCCTCTGGAGAATACAAGTACTGCACTGATCTTTCTCAATAGGATGGATTTTGCTGTTCTTTCTGTGCTAAATTAAAATACTAAAATAAGACCCAAATTACTGTCTGCTACAGAACACATTCACCAAAATACTCCTCTAGCACTCTAAGAATACAGTAGACTTCAAAGCTGTTGATACAGATAGATACACACACACATACCCATCAACAAAAGTTAAGGCAGTGGGTCAAATGCACAGATGATACTATCTTCTCCTGCTTGTTCTTATTAAATGGCAATTCGTTAAAAAAGATCCACAAGTTTTACTGGAGCATACAATACTAACCATTGCTAAAAATGGACCTTACCTTTGGTTTGACACACTTCTATCTTTTCTTTTTAGGAATCCTTTTATGCAGTGCATACAGTGTGATGCAAACACTAACAACTTATATATAACCAGACTCTAGAAGAAAGGTCATGGTTTCAAAGTATAGTTTATCTTTTAAAAAGTTGAATTTGGAAAAAAAAAAAGTCATAGTTTTTACTTCAGTTCATAATAGGATATAATTTTCTAGTCCACAATAGTATACTATTTCACCTGAAAAACTGCATCAACCAACTGCCAGAATACAGGTCACTGAAATATTTCTATTGTGAAAAAGCCAAATGTAATAAGGTATTCTGAAAGACACCAAGGTCCTTGTGTCAAGATCAGGCTTGAAGAGAGAGTTTTTAACTCCCTCCTCTGCCATGAAACAAACCTCTCCCGCACCCTGCAATGCAAAGGCAGGATAATGGAGAGCGGGTTTGGAGCTCACACGTGTCTTGTGAATGGTTTCTAAGGAAATATAACTCAACTACAAATCAAATAAAAATTCACATTACCAAAACAACTTGCTCTCTTAGTAAAAGAAAAAAAGGCTATCGGACAGAAGACCTCACTCTAAGGGCACCTTAAAAATAGCCAGTAGGTTAGATTGAGAGCACAAGCAACAACAGCTTATGATTACATTATTAGACAAAGCTTTTACTAACAACATCCACCCCAGATTGGTGGTGTACAGATTGGTGAGTCATTTTTTAGCCAACAACTTCAGCATTTTCTGTGACTAACATATAAAATTATCTTCATGATTTTCTGCCCTTACAATCATTTTTAAGACTGCTGTTATTCTCAGAGTGCTGAATTACCCCTGCTGTGGCAAGCGCTTTAGAACACATGGCGAGGGCACAGCCTGACATTGCACGATTTTGCCACTACAATTCAGTGAGTCTCAATCCTTACACATAAGCAGTCAGATGCCTACACAGACAACTTCTGGTCATGTTTACTGAGAGTACTGATGGTATTAGGAGGTAGAATGGGAAAAGATTCCTCACAGAGTTCTCTCTAACAGCTTACACAGCAAGACGACTTGTCTGCAGTTAAGTTGTTTTTAGTATTTGTTTTAAACAACAAGAGCTTTTAAAAAAAACCACAAGATTAAGACAAACAGAACAGTAACAGTCAGAAAAAAAGTGATAAATTTAAGTAAAAAGAAAAACCCAATACCTGAACAAGTGGATGTGCTTATTATGTGCTTCACAGCAAGTGAATAGAAAGCTAAATTTTAAGCATTACTACAGATATAGGTCAGCAATTTCTGTTGTTAATGCCATTCAGCATGTCTCCATGGCAGGAGGTAAAGACACCTCATCACAATTTCACAGCTGCTTAAAACAGGTCAAACTGCTCCACTTTCTTCTTTGTAGCTATATATTGGCTGCTCAGTACAATCCACTGCTGCAAGGCAAGAGGAGAAGTCTTACCATTGTGATGAGAAGTCTGTATTTATCCAACATTGCCTGGTTGTCATGGCATCCTGCCAGCAACTGCCAAACTTCTGCCCTCAGCGCCTCCGGAACACCACTCTTCACCAGCGTAGACAGCCCCTTCGGTCTCGCAACAAGATTGTTATGCCTGAGGAAAACAGATCATCATTTGCCCATCACATCTCAGCTATGGGAGTAGAATACAAGCTAAGTAGATAAAAAGTTTTTCAGCTTTCCAATGTTATTATGAAGAGTAGAGTCTCTAACTAACAGCATAAACATTTCTTTCACAAGTTACACTAATTAGTATTTGCCACACGGAAGGATAAATTGCAGGAATTCACAATAATAACCAGTAGCAAAACACATTGGTATCCAAAGTCATTTCAGCTAGGATTAGGGGTATTAATAAAAATTAAAAGAATAAACAAATGCAGAAACTGAACAGAACTGGTTAATAAAGAACACCATAAAAAAACCACTGTTGACGTATACAAGAGATCCTATAAAGTACAAATCAATTTGAATGGTTTTCGGGGATAAGACGAGTTCAAAGCCAACTATTAACGAGAAAACTGTCACTTGTGTAGGCAGTTCATTTAAATGTTTGTTCAACATATAGCGTAGATTAGAAAAAGCAAGTGAAAAAATAAGTTGCACAGAGAAAGCAACTTTGGAAAACAAAAGGTGTTTTACATGAAGATTGAAGTTCTAGTTTTACACTCAATGCCAAATTTAGTTTTCCATATAAAACAGGTATTCAGCTCTGCTGTACGAAGTCTGTGTTGCAAGTTCCACAAAGCTGTAACACTTGCGCGCAACTTGGAAATATCCCAGATTCCCAAATAAATCTGCTAATTAGTCTCAGCTAGCATTTAATACTTCTTTGCTACATACCGAGCAATATGGAAAGATATAAGCAGGATGACTTTTTTAATAACACATAATTAATCCTACAAAAGTTCTCTATAAGAGCTGTGGAAGGTTAACACAGACTGAATATCGAAGGCAGTTTATTTCTCAAAAAGAAGCCAGTTATTGAGCCCCTACTTTCAAGATGAAATTATTGCATGTATACAGTAATGCAGAGCTTCCGGTCACAAAACTTTAAAAATCCTTTCTGAGAATCTAAACTCTTTCCTGATCTACATTAAATGTTGCTTTGATTTATTATCGCAATTATGATGACCAATGCAACAGGGAGAATATTTGAATTGATTATTTATTCTTTCTAAAGCAGCAAGTGCTTGCAAGCATGTTCCTTTGGCTTGTTATTGTTATGACCATTGTTAAGTTGCTCAAGTCTACTGCTAGGAGAGCAGTGGGAATGGCAGTTTAGTCCAATACAAGCCAGCTGCCTGGCTTGGCATTTCACTCACAGATGGGAGTAGCTTTCTGCTACTTTTCAAATTTAAAAGATGCTCTGAAGGACTTGCTCCTTCCCATATTCAGTTACAGGACGATAGCCTCACTGTTTCAAATAATTGGATGTTAAAAAGAATGGATGATTAAGTAAGGTCCTCTACTCTACTCTACTCAGCATGAAAATTTTAAATTTCAAATGTGCAACACAATCTGGTCCAAAATTTAACTTTCAGTCAACCAAATTAAAAGCCTCACAGATTCAGTTCTCTTTTTCAGTATATTGTCCAGTAGGTCACACTTAACTAATGGTCTCGTGATGGGAAGCAGTTAGGGGAAAAAAGAAAAAAGAAATAATAATAATAATATAAAAAGGAAAGCACACGCAATATCCAACAAAAATATTTGAAGGACTAGGCACTCTAAGACAGTTATAAAATGATGAGATATATAATTAGGTGGAATAAATGCAAAAAAACACACCAGAAATTTGAAGTACAAGTTGAGTGAATATGTATGATTTGTAATGCATTTCTAATCAGATTAGTTTGTTATTAATTGGATTTGGTCATAGGTATTATATATGAAAGGCAGAATGTGGATAAAATAAAGTGAACAGCTACGAAGACAAGTTTCCATATAAACATAACAGGGATTTTTCCAGTGCCACCAAGAAAACAATACAAACAGCTTATGACAACAGCTAACAGAGATGCATATTCCATGTTGTGCTATCATTCTTATTTCCAAACATATTCACAACTGAGAATTAAGCATGCTATGTGCACAAGATTTTACTGTACTCATCATATATTGAAACAGCTTTACAGAAGAGATAACAATTCAGCAACATTAGTCCATGCAGTAAAGCATAATTCTGTACCTTTTAATAAGCAACTCCTCAGTTTCTGAATGTCTGTCTGGGAAACAGTTCAATTATTAATAATCCTTGCTCTATGGTCTGTAATAGTGAACAAAATTGCATGCTTTTTTTCCCCTGCTCTAGAGGCCCAAGAATCTTACATTGCTGGATAACTTTCTGATGCCTGTTTGGCCAGATTACAATAAAAACAAGCTTAAAATAAAAGCTTGTCTTATCCTCAAACACACACAAAGTTGTCTCTTAGGAAGAAATCAGTCATTCATCAATGCTGACATCTTTTATTTGTTATCAAGTGCAGTAAGTCTCCTGAGTAAACTTCAAAGACATCATTTTAAAAGGCCAAAGAGCAAGGATAGAAAACAGCAAAGCACAGGATATGTTGTGACTTAACAAACAAATACTTCTGATAACTGCTGCTATTGACCATTACTAAAAACAGACAAGCTAGCAAACGTACACACCAGAAATAGTTATTATTAAGTATTTAGCTAACTAGCTCAACTTGCAAGAATAAATTTAATTCTGACAATGTGCTAAATAGTAAATTTATCTTGGTAAATAACTTAAAAGGTATTCCATTACTTTCCATGCATTTCCTTTTGGATAAACTACTCTGATCTAAATCCTGCTTATATGTTATCCTTTGAAGGAGACTCTTACAGCAATGTTTCTGCTGAGTCAGTTCATTCACTTACAGTGACATTTTAATTAAATGACAGCAAGCAATTAAAATGCAAGAAAATTTTTATCTTAGACACAAATCAGCACACCAGTCTCCAAGCGAAAATGTTAATTTTATTTATTTTTAACGAGTGCACATATCTTCTTTTAGCATATGCTGTAATGTTCAGCACGCTAGAAGAGTTGATTTTAATCCATTTTTAGTTTTCAAATTTTTACATTTTTCATCTGTTAAACTTTCCAGATTTGTTCCTAAAACATGACAGAAGTTCTTTATCATGATCAAGTTCTTTATTTTTTTTTTATCCCTTTCACATTAGTTGAGGTATTTCCCCAGGATCAAAGATAAAACTAAAGGAATCAACCGACAGATGAACAGAAGAGAAAAGTTCCATCTTTCATGCAAATATGAGATTGGAAAAGACCTCCCAAGTCTTTAAAAGACTCAGAGTGGCTTTAGTGATTGGCCTTGAGGTGCCAAAAGTAAAATTTCTAAGAATGCATAAATTCTCTCTTGGTAGGTCCTTTGAAGTAGATCTCAGAAATTTTTCAGTTGTCCCAGAGCAGACATGCCCACAGTAATCTCAGCCTTTTCAGATGAAGAAAAAGGATTTGTGTATCAACTGACTTCTACACTTTTTTTCTGTAATTTTTTATTCAAAGGGCTCATAGCCAGAATATTTGTACAATGATCTCATGAAATATTTGTGCTTCCCCAAATAGATCTTTCTTTAAAGCTAAAAACTTGGATCATAAAATAATTGAGAATAAGGCAGGAGGGAAGGGTTCTGTCAAGCTCCATAAAATCTTGTGGTGTCACAGCTGACATAACCTTTGCACGAGGGCTCGATAAAATAAGAGGCCTGTGGCAAACGGCTGTTTTTCTCCAAAGCTCTAAGTGACCAGATAAAGGAGGAATTGCCTGAACATAGCCTTAAAATGCTTCTCAGGTATCTTTTTATGTGGCATTGTGAAAAAATGCCAATTCCAGACTAAGAATCTCCAACTATTTTTGTCTCAGATAGCAGGAGCTATTACTTACATAGAGAAAGCTGTGGAAAGGTTCTGGCAACTTCTAACAACATATCTCTCTCGGAGGTAACAAATACACACTTTGTCTCTCGCAGCAAAGTATACACTGTTACTGAAGCAATTAAATCACAGAAATAACACTGCTAAGAACATACTCTAGGCCTACAAACATTCTCAAACAGAAACAGTTTCAGGAGGACCATAAGCTCTCAGAAATTCCTTTTTTAAATTCTTACTTATTGCATATTAAAGAAAAATATTTCTACACAAATCAATCCATTAAAAACAGACTTCAAGGAGCACAAATGGCTTAGACTGGGCCAAATGGAGTTGCTCTGGCATTGACATTGTAGCACTTAGAGGCACTGAGATTCATGAGGGCTCAACATCCAGCAGGAACAAGCATAGACATATGCGAACATATGGTTGAAGAATGAAAGGAACGAGACTTTTGGAGAAGCTGAGGAAGAGATTTGCCAAATAACTGCAAGACTAAAATAAGAAAATTTACTTGTTACAATTTAAAATTTAAATAATAAAATGAAACATTACCATCTTCCCAGTAATTCTCCCCAGGAATACAGGATCTTCTCCGGACAATCCTTTGACACATCACCAGTGCCACTGGAGAGCTCATTATCACTCTCTGGAGAAAAAATAAAAAAGACACACAAAGGAAAAAAAACAAGAGCATACACATTTATCAAAGAGAACAGGTATTAAAGAGGCATACATATAACATACAAGTATCAGAGAAATTATTCTGGCATACTGGTTTTAAAACCGCAAAATAGCCAGAAAATATTAGTGAAACTGTAAGGAATGCTTGGTAGCCCTTATTAAGGGAATATAGTAATAATATTATCATGAAAATTCAGATAAGATGAGGAGGCAAGAATTCATAGCATTTGATCGAGGAAAAAGAGCTGGGAATTAGAAAAGCATTATGGAGAGGAGAGCGAAGGCAGTTAATACCCGTTTAATGAGATGTCATGACGCATTATAACTCAAAAGCCACATCCACTACAGATTTCCCATAGAAACGAACTCTCTTATAAAGCATAGTACATTACATAACCTCTTTACAGCATTTCACTTGTGTCCCATTTGGCTCACATGTATTACTCTGATCTCCAGAAAGCTACTCACTTCGGAACCATGAAATCATTTTTTATTGAGCCAAGCTCATGGAAGAGCAGAAAAAAAAAATGACACTCTGACATTATAGGGCACACTGCATGGAGGAGAAAAGAGTGCTTCAAATAGAAAAGAAACATCATCAGAATTAAGAATAAATGACTTAGAAGCACTTAAGTCATTACATATGACTTATATACCAAAAAAAAAAAAAACAAAGAAAAGAATAAGAGTGTGGGAGAATGAGTCTGGAAGAGTGTGCTCAGATGAGGAATAACTGCCCAATTTCAGAATGTCTTCTGAATGGGCTATTCAGCTGTCCATGGCAAGTTGAATGGCCTAACTTTCTACAACAGCTCTTCATGTGGATATGCTTTTGCATTATTCTGGGCCTTTTCTAGGTCTGTTTGAACAAAGCATTGTTAAAAAGTAGGCATGAGTTTATTTAGACAACATCAAACCTTAATGATGCTCCAATTCTTGCCCCTTTTACCAAAGACCAGAACTTCAAATGACAGCAACAGTCAATGACCCTAAAAGGCCTCTGAGGCTATGGACAGTTTGCATCTCAAAATAAAATAATATTTTTTTTTTTAAAAAAAGGGGGATTAAAGCCACATCCAATGCCAGAATCCCCTACACACTCTCCTCTGCCCAGTTCATCTTGATGCTCATCTAATACCTTTACTTCTTCAGGTACTTTAGAAATTTCATGCCCTATTTTCTGTATATAACAGTAGTCCAGGTGTAGCAGTAGAGCACTATCATTCTGACTCCAATTACATGTTTCTAATTCATCACTTCAGCAACTACCACATTCGAGTCATCAATAAAAATATACAATCAGTCTTTGAATTTAAGCAAAAAACATGAGGGCACAAACATACATACTGTATTTCAAGGACAATTAACACGATAGAAACGCTGCTCTGGAAGGAAAGCATATCAGAAATGTCTTTATAATTCAAACTGAATTGATTAGTGATTTTTTTAGCTTGAAACCTGGTTGCATTGCTTAACAGACTCCAATACACAAGAAAGGCCTGCATTTAAATATCTCTCCTTATAATTAAAAAAAATGAAGCTTAACTATAACACTTTAAAAAATACCTCTACAGAAAAATGCTTGAATCCATATCAAGCATCCAAGTTCCTCGTCTTTTGCATACATTCACTAGGTCCATTCAACTAGGGTGAAATAAGAATTTTAAGGGAAGAAAAAAAATATCATATTTTAACAAAATATAGTATTGCTATAAAAATAATTATCATTATTCATGATACTAACAGTGTCATTATAAAAGGATGCCCAGTAACCAAAGGCACATGTTAAGTTCCAGTGGAACAAATTTATGTGATGACTCAATTTTACAATGTTTTTAGACATTTCAAAATGCAAGGAACTCCTCATTTAGCATGCAGTACAGGTAATATAATAATAATAATAAATCATTAAAATGGATTGCTTTTTAAAAATTCCCACTTTTCTTGGTTTCTCCAACTGTATTTAAGAGATCAATTAAGCAAAAACATTAATAAGGGGGAAACGTCCGTAGATTTTCAAAATCTGTTGGCCAGAGACACAAGGGGATCATACCAAACACATTATGAACCTCCATAAACCTGATTCACACACAAAATTTATCATAAATCACGATTTCAAAAAGTTTTCACAGATTCAAGGTAAAGCAAAACAAACTGGTACAAAATTCTGAAGAGATTTAAATCAGAAAGACTTTGGAGCGTACAGTGTATTTCTGCATGATTAGTGGTGGAAGTAAATAATAACAAATCAATAAAACATATTCCAGACAAATCAAAATGTTTACTAATGTAGCCACACTGGTTACTTTCAGGGCCAAAGCACACCAGTTAGCACACTGATCCAAACCTTAGCTTTTCAAACAATACTTACGTAACACAAAATAAAATAAAAATACCTCTTTTCTCACTATATTTGCAAATCTATGCAAAATTCTTCGAAGTTCTTCGGATCAGCGTTACACAGCATATGAATTCCAGGAAGGTATTTCACAAAACTGTGGTGCTTCAGCCCTGAAGATTCTTTCATCTGTAAGGCTTAGCAGGATTTGCAATGTATTGTTCTGTTGTATGCCAGGAGACTATAAGCCTTAATTAGAAGGGCCATATGCTTCCTTTCAAAAGGCACTAACTTCAAACTTCAAATAGGGCAAAGGGTAGCATATAAGCAGATTTAAGAATCTCTACTTTGTTTCCATAATAAACATCATGTATAATTTTAAAAATTGTGTAAGCACTTACATAGTAGTTAAGTGACCGGTTTCTTCTCTTAGCTGTATTGGCACATATTTTTTCCATGTTCTACAGGCTTTACATACCAGCACTGTTAGTTAGGGAATGATTTTCTCCTGACGGATTCTGCAATGGATGCCACTTTCCTCTAGATGCACTGAGGGTTTCTGCCTTCCTCCTTCACACATGCACTCTCAGAAACCTCAGTGAGAAAGCAAAACTTACTCCTCAGCAGAATGGGAACAAGTAAATTTAAGGGTGCAGTTGTGAACATGCTTATACAGAGACATCCTTAAAGTGTACTTAGAAAGTAGCCTGTCAGTCTTCCTGCTTGCACTGCCAGCTGTATCCTGGCTCTCAGGATGGACACAGCGAGCACTCTAGAAAACCACTGCTTAAGGTCAAAGTCTCTCTGAAGAACAGCTGAAGGACTGCACTTCCACAGACAGAGTCACTCTGTCTTCAGCATTGAAATACTGGATAAATCTAGGTCTCCAGCCTGTCCAGTTCCAGCTGAGCTCCAGCGTATAGTCCAGTCTGGTCACGTAGGTGGTGTTAGGAAGCTTGCTGAGAGTGCACTTCTGCCACTCACCTCATTAACAGGGACAGTAAACAGTACTTGTCCCAGCACCGATTCCTGATGAATGTCATTAGTTACTGGCCACCAGCTGGACTTTGCACCAATGATCACCATCCTTTCAGGCCAGTAGTCCAGCCAACTTTCCAATCACATTAAGGCAACCAGCCCATATCTAATCACTTCAGGGATGAGGAGACTATGGGACACTTTTGGGAGTCTTGCTAAAGTCAAAGTGGACCACATCCACTATTTTCTCAAACACTGAACCAGTCATCTCATTTTAGAAAATTAACAGGCCAGGGGCATTTTAATCCACACTGCCTGTACCCAATCACACTCTTGCCCTTCATGTGTTTAAAAATAGTTTTCAGAAGGATTTGCTCTATCATCTTTCCTTAGACCTAGGTTAGACTGATGAGCTGGCAAATTACCTAGATATACCTTCGCACTCATCTTGAAAATGGGCGTGAGCTACTTGTTTCGTTCTCTTGTTTGTTTTGAAAGCCATTTGCATGTGATATACATGAAGGAAAGTGTTTTAAATTGGCCTGTGGAGATACCACTGGGATGGCAGGAGGATGTTCAGATGACCGTGTTTAGATACAGGGATCTACTGTGGTATGTTAACACAGGCAAACATGAATGTGCAAAAAAAATGGTCTCTTTCAAAAATCTATAGGGAAATTCAAGAACAAACCAAAAAAGTATGAACCTAAGTGCAAAGATTGGCAGCCTGTTAGATATATATAATTTTGTGCCTACTCCATTTAGAAACACTCATTATATAAAATATTAATTATATGAGCAGACTATTCTGAATAGAGCACAAAGAATTGTATTTTAAGTGGCCCAGCAGTAACGTTTATCATGTTGCAATAGTCTGTTGACCAGGCTCAATTAGAACATTTCTCCCTTTTTAAAAAACAGAAGTCATCTCCCAGAATTAAGACTGTAAGTAATAAAGACAGACCTCTGCCACTCTGGAAAAAAATAAACTTTGGTTCATTACTTTTTGTAATTAATAATTTTGGAAGTGTTTCCTGATGTGGCCTGTCTTCCATACAACAGAGGCACTACTTTAGATTTAGTGTGATCTGGAATAGCCTAAAAGGCTATTTTAATGGAAAACAAATAGAATTGTCAAAATTACTGTAATTATTGTTGATATCAAAGAATAGTAAAGGGGTTTGTATGTGCTTTTATCATAAAACACTCATAAAATATCTAGAGCCTCACAAGACGACTCTATGCACTAAGATGGGCATATTCTTTTGGAGAACTGCAAAAAGATCATCAGCCTTGACCATCTCCCTCCAAAAGTCGCAGACTGATTAAGCTGCAGGTTGTTCAATTCTTACTCTTTGAGCTTGACGACACAGAACTTGGGTCTTGGTCACCTAGTCCATCCTACAGATATTTGTTTAATCTGTTTGACAAGCTTCCAATTACTTCCCTAGGCAATTTATTCCAAGGACTTAATTACTGTTACTTTTGCAATATACCTCCCAGTTCCAATCTAATTCTTCATTCCTGCAACTTAGGCCAATTACTCCCGGCCACAAACAAAGTAATCATGGAAAATAGTTTTAGTACATGCCACTTCTTTCTGAAAAATCTTTGTCTCTGTGCGTTCTTCTCCAAAAGAACTGTTTCTT